GGGGGGAAACCTCTTTGCATTAGCAGCAATAACCTATCTCCCACAAATTGTAGCCTGTGCTCCCATCTACCACTAAAACCCAAAGCAAACAAAGAGTCGTGCAAAGGCAGGAAGCATTTTGGGTGTAATTGCCGGTAGACCTTTGCTTTCATGATTTTTTGGTTTCACCCAAAAAGGCAGCTGAGCAGTGCTGCGGTTCACTTGGGTGGATTTATTATGAGCTCTCGCTGTGCTCTAATTTGACATTTTTGGCAGCTCTGTGAGTTTTTAAACATCCTCTGCAAGAGTCTCCTGGCCACGCTAAATGAAAATGTCCCATGGAGGGAAGGGAAAGGAGGGGGCCGGTGCATGGCAGCACGGGTGAGCTACACCCTGACAACAGCCCTGCCTCCAGGCTCCTTTATGTTGGCCTTGAGCCTTCATTTTCATAATCTTGCCCTGATCCCTCGCCTTCTGCTTGGGTTGGAGTTGAAGGACCGTCCAGTTTGACCAGATCAAAGTGGGAAGCAGGTCTCTCCCATCATGTGAGCCAAGAGGTGGTGGTGTTGATGGAGTCAGTTGGCCTTGGTTGTATCAAAAGACCTCACCAGTACCAGGACCTGATTTTGGGGCTACTTTAGAGGCTAAAAAAAAAAAATGTTGAATATGGCCCAGAAAACTACAGAACAGGTCTAGCCCATGTGTGGAATAGCTGGATGGTGCCATGGTACATCGGGGGTGACGACTCCGTTTGAAGTCCTCCTGGCTTTTTCTGATGTGTTTATCTCTTGTTTGTGTGAGTTTACCGAACCATAACTGGACTGTGACTTACCATCAGATCTTTAGGGAAGCTTGTCACAGCAATGGGTAATAGCATAATAAAAACATAACTGCTTAGCCTTAATGTGTCAAAATGACTCATTTAAAATACCCTACTGGAGATATGGGGGTCTAGAAGATAAGTAAGACTTGAGTGGGGAGGGCATATTGAGTAATGGACCCACAGCTCTAACTGGGAGGAAAAGATATCTTGCATTTCAGATCTGAGGAAGTGGTTTATCTGCCTGAACAAATGTTTTTCTCCAACATGTGGTGAATCGGTTGGTCTGGCAGAAGTCAGCACTTGCCTGGGTAGATGCATGCGAAGAATTCAGCTACTTGGCAATCCTGTGCATTGTGAAAGTTGTGCACTATGTAAACTGCTTAAGTATTGATCCTGTTTCCATACTCTTTTTTTTTTTTTTTAATAAAACTTCTTTCTGAAAACTTCAGCATTTCTGGTCTCATAGTCTTCATGAAACATGCAGGTATTTTTCCCCTGTACCCTAGTCTGTAAGTAAATGATACTTCTCTCAACTTCTTCCACATATTGTCTCCTTAATATGTGTAATACTCCTGTTGGAAATAACTGCTTTATTGAATCCTAGAGATAGATGCCACCTGCATTTCTGTATATGTGGCAGTTGAGGTCCGACAGGTTGATGCATAGTCCTGCCCTTCTGGGAGCAAGAAATTGAGATGGAGGCAGGGAAAACATCTGTGTCCCTATAGCTAACCTCCCTGTCCCTATAGCTAACCTCCCTGTCCCTATAGCTAACCTCCCTCTCCCTATAGCTAACCTCCCTCTCCCTATAGCTAACCTCCCTTTCCCTATAGCTAACCTCCCTTTCTTGTCTGAATATAGAGCAGCCGTATACATCTCCTCCTGTCCCGCAGGAGGCCAGGGAAGCAGCAGACAGACATGCCAAGGATTATTCTATTTGATCAGGCTTTGAAATGGGCTGTAGATAAAGCCCTTGATGTTTACTGGGCCATTAAACATTTATTAGCCTCTATCCCAGTGTGTTGGTAGCACTGTAAATAACAGCTGTGATTAAAGTGAAGATTGGGGTCAGCAGTTGCCTTTTTCACTGATGTTTGTAAATAGAGAAGCAGTTCGTGTAATTTTTAAGAGCCTACTTGGGGGAAGCATCTGCCCCGATGCCTTGGAGAGAAGGGGCAGATGAGCTGCCAGACTGGAGCTCCTCTTTATAACGAGGAAATGCTGAAATCTTAGGAAGTGGTAGAATTTAAACAACAACGAAAAAAAAAAAATTAGGGCCTGAGCTAGGAGTTCATTTATCCCTGGCCTTCCTAACAAAAATACTTGATGCCCTCACATCAGAATGGCTTTTCCATCTGGGTTTAATTACGTAGAAGGAGGGTTCATGCCTCTCTCTCCCAGTGCTGCCCCGAATAACCCCCCCAGCCACCCCCGTGCTCAGCCACGCAGGCCGGGCTCGCTGAGGCATTTCCATCATCAGACTTTTATGTCCCTTTCACCCCCTCCCCGAGCTTTCAGAGGGAGAGGAGAAGCATCGCCGCAGGGCTGAGACTTGGCTTGTGGGGTCTTAGCTGCAGCACCTGGTAGGATGTTAGGGTTTTTGAAAGGACGAGTATGAAGGGATTACTCTCTATTGCTGGGAGGCCACAGCCTGGTGATTCATACTGCAGGCAGTCCCTCTGAAGTCAATGAGATTATAAAGCATGTAAATCTGTATGGAATTTGGCATTTTCCTAGAAAAGTGGGGGATATTTGTTTTATTTGCATATAAATTACTTCTAATAAGACTCTATAGACATGACCGATCCTTCTAATCACACCGTTGCTCCTTGCAGTCAGAAAGTTACTTGTGCTATCCTCTCATTTTAAATAATTGTTTAAAAAAAAAAATCACTTGTGTGGGAAATATCTGTGGTTGCTGCTGGGCTGCAAAGCGTTCCTGGGAATGACTCGGGCGGGAGCGTGTCCTCGTGCGCTTGGGACCTGCGGTGTGAATGGAGAAAGGAGACGGTCTTGTTTTCACACTCTCTCATTTTGAGTCTCTGACGTATTCCCGTTCCACCATTTAGATGTTGTCAGACTGAGGGATAATTAGAGGGAGCCTGTTTTGCTACAAAGCCGGATCAGGAATCCACATTGCCGTGAGCAAGCCTGGGTTATTTGTTGGGGAATGCAAAGCAGTGGAGTGGGTGTCTGGGGAGCATTGCTGCACCACGAGGGAGAAGATGCTCAGCTGCTTCTTCCCTGTGTCTGCAGAACATACCTCCTTTCTACAACAACTTAAAATAAATAAATTGATCTTCCCATTTAGTGGCCAGCAGGGCCAGGGAGGGGATTGTCCCCCTCTGCTCCGCTCTGGGGAGACCCCCCTGCAGTGCTGGGGCCAGCTCGGGGGCCCCCAACAGCAGAAGGACACGGAGCTGCTCGAGCGGGGCCAGAGGAGGCCACGGAGATGCTGGGGGGGCTGGAGCAGCTCCCCTGGGGGGCCGGGCTGAGAGAGTTGGGGGGGTTCAGCCTGGAGAAGAGAAGGCTCCGGGGAGCCCCTCGAGCGGCCTCCCAGGGCTTAAAGGGGGGACAGGAGAGGGGGGGAGGGACTCTGGGTCAGGGGGTGAGGATGGGACGAGGGGGGACGGTTTTAAGGTGAAAGAGAGTAGGTTTAGGTTATATATAAGGCAGAAATTGTTCCCTGTGCGGGGGGTGAGGCGCTGGCCCAGGGTGCCCAGAGCAGCTGTGGCTGCCCCCTCCCTGGAAGGGTTCAAGGCCAGGTTGGACGGGGCTGGGAGCCCCCTGGGCTGGGGGCAGGGGGCCCTGCCCGGGGCAGGGGGGGGCACTGGGGGGGCTTTAAGGTCCTGTGATTCCACGCTTTATCAAATGCAAATATAAAAGCTGTCATGGCGATGCTTTCTGTTGGAACAGGGATATTGGTTCCTTCAGTGGTGCTCTGCAGGATGGCAGTCTCTGTCAGCTACACCAAGATGCTCAGGGCCAAACCTGGGAGCTGCTGTTGGAGCTGTCGGGCATCGGTTCTTCTGTCAGCTTTGCTGCCTGGGTGCTGGTGGGTGGTTTGGGTGCTGTACACAGCAGCTTCCTCCCCACGCGAAAAGGCTTTTAATAAAGCATTATAACAAAGAGCATCAGCTTTTCGCTTGCTACAGTTGAGGAGGATGTTGAATTTTGCCAAGAAGTTCTAACAGCATAGGTGGTTTTAGCTATTTGAGACTTGCTTTACCTTAGAAAAATGCATCATGCCTGTTTATGTGTTGTGTGGCATGTGGAATGTGTAATGAGCTTTCATCGAAAATGAAATCTGGAACTGGAAGGAGTCCTACAGAAAGTAACTGAGAAACTGAATATATATATATAACTGAATAACTGAGAAAATAACCAGGTCCCATTAAGCTGGTTGCCAAGGGACTAATTTACTTGTCTCTCCCCCAACTTGATGAAATAGTTATTGTTTTCCTCTTCTCCTTACTAACACACCCACAACTCCAGAAGGGCCACCTATCCGCTCCTGTAGATGGTCTTACTGATATATGCCTAATTCCACCTCAGAGCCATTTTCCTGAGCAGGGCATTGCTTTGAAAACACTTTCCCCTGTGTCAGGGCTCCAGAAAGGTTTGTGCGGTTGAAAGGTTTGTCCCCTTTTTCCAGTGATGCTGGCTGGCCTAACAAGTGCCCTGCTCCTGCCCACAAACCTTGCCTTCTCTAGAAAAGAGAAAATAAGGTTATTTTTAGGGCAGTGGTCTAGACTTGGATGTAAAATCTGGCACAAATGGAGATCTTTCCAGTTTCAGGCCAAGTGACATATATTCCTCGTTGTCCTCGCTGTAAAAGAGAAGATTTTAAATTTTTTTTTGTTCATTAGGCTCCTGGTGTAGTAGCAGACAGGGTAGCCTTGGCTTACTCCTTGCGTGGCCTGGGCTATGGTTTTCAGTCTTCTTCTCAACCATCTGTGTGCCTTCTGCAGGCTGATGTACCTCCAGCTGTGCTTGTAATATTTTGATGAACTTATTTTTTATGGAGACTACATTAGTGGCTGGGACAATCTCAGCTATATGGGACGGTTCCAGTCATCTGAAACAAAATTCAAGCAGTTGGGGCAGTAAAAAGGTCGTTCACTTAATGTGGCTGATCCGTGGGAAACGACTTTCTTGTCTTGACACAAGCCATTAACTGGGTGTTTCTCTCTTACAGGGCGCATCGAGAATAATCATCAGCCTTAATAAGGATTGATTGTATATTACTCGTCATCGTCCCGGTTTGATATTAATCGGAAAAGGCTTTGACCGTTGTGTTGGGGAGGTGAAAAATTGAATGAGCGTCCCTTTCAAGGTATAGTAGAAACATTAACGAGACGTTTGGGGTATGAGGCTATTCCTGCTGTAGCCTGCGCAGGAGAACAGCACCTCCAAAGGTTTCATATAAAAATACTTTGAGCTCTTTGGAAGCCTCCGAAGGGAGGTGCCGAGCGTACGGCTTTTCTCATGGATTCTCATCTCTCAGTCTTACAACATCTACGTGGTGAAACCTGTGCTCCATCATTCGCCTTTTTGGTCTTAATGAATGGGGTCTTTATAGACTGGGGGGTTGCCTTTCCTTTGCTGCAAACTTTCATGAATCCATCATTTTCTCTTTATTTACTGGAAAGACTCTTTAATTTTTTAAGCTTTAAGTTTGTGTTGTGAGGCATGAAGAGTTTGGGTATCAATATTTGCATGATTTTGAAGAGGGCTTTTGTTAAGGCTTTTTTTTCTTCTTGGTTATAGAAACTAATGTTAGACTGAAATACAGTGACCTCTGCTATTACCCTGGCACAGATGGGCATGTAATTGTGGCATGAGTGATTTATTAAGGTGGGGGAAATAAAAAACCCAGAGTCTTTTTGAGGAAAGGAAGGTCACGGAGTGAGAAGGAAGGTTATGGAGTAAGAAGGAATGTTACTCTGGATGTTAATGAATTAAAAACGAACACCCAACAGGGAGTTTGTATGCAGTTGTTCTGGTCGAAGTTCTTCCCATGGTCTAACTTGAGGAAAAGATTGAGGAAAGCTTTAAACAAACAAAAAAATAAAAATCTTACTGTAAAATTTTTGTTCAGTATTTCAGAGGACTCATTCCAACCAAAATGGATTTGATGCTGGGATGGTGTTGCTGGAGTAGCAAATTGAGATGCGCATGTGAAACCTGGTGATTTTTATAAATGAGGTCTTTTTTTAAAGCATTTCTTGCTGCTGTGGCTTTCATGGATTCACCCTGTCTGGATATGAAGTTTGTATATGTGGTTCGATATTTCCTTAAAGCTTGCACATAGGGTCCTGCTGACACTGCGTGCTTCACAAACTTGACCAATTTATGGTTTCATATAAAAATTCTTTGAACTCTTTGCAAACCTGGTGTGATACCTCTGTGCCAAAATGAAGTCAGTCATAACTTTATGGATGACTAAAGGCTTCCCTTTGAATTTGTATGATACTTAGCAATGAGTTTCAGATCTCTGTGTGTGTGTGTATGTACTTAACTGAATTTCATGTTGTGTTTTGCTACATCTATTTTTTAGTCTGCTTGGCTCACTTTTTGATTTGGGGAAAACTCCTATTGAGATCAGCAGCTGAATTAATCCCACTAATTTACTGAGAAGTGGCCAAGTGCTTTGTCTTTGGTGCATGCTTCCTCCATAGGTGATTCCAGAAAAGGATTAAGTTTAGTGAGACTAAAACCAGGGATACAGAAGAAATTTGCCTATCATGCACACTGTAAATGTTAGTAGCCTAAATTCTGTTTATTATTCGGTTTTTGCTCGTATTAAAAAAGCCTTTTTAGAGAAGCAAGAACCGATGAATATGTTCAAATACCTGCCAAAACAACACAGATCCTATCGTAATCCAGTGAAAATGTAGGACAAAGATACGACCTGCACGCAGGCAGGAGCCTTCTCAAGAAAGCTTGTGGTCTGGATGTGTCTGTCAAGGCTTCTTGGTTGTTTGGGCTTGGAAGCCAGAAATTCAGTGGCCGGCTGGAACCCTGAAGCCGCTTGGATCGGCGGGATGCGCCTGAACTCCCACGAAGAGGAGCGAGCGGCCGTGGGCTGATGCTTCGCCGGGGCCAGTGCTGCCTGGTGTGGCTGGCCAGCCTGAACGGTCCCAACAAAACTGCTCGCGTGAGAGTGGTTTGTCTTGCGTGATGAAGCCAGCTGTGGACGTGGCTCTGGCTGGAGTGAAAGAGTCGAACAGCGCTTTCCTTCCAGAGCGAATTCCCGTCGGAGTGGGACAGCGAGGTCCACAGCTGAGGTCGTGGGACTTGTTCTGCTGTTCCAGGCAGTGGGGGCTGTTAGGCAAAAGGCAGAGCTGGACGTTGGGGTGCCAGAGGTGTCCATCACTCTGAGCCTCTTAACTCTTGTGGGCCACCGGAAAGGCATTTTGGGGTGAGTGGTTTTTCACTCTAAAACTGGGGTTATGAAATAGCCGATGTTAGCTGGAAGGGCTTGAGCACCCTTTTGTGCTGTTACGGGTTGCTTTTTAAAGTGTTTCATTATACATCACTTACTGATTCATGTCACAGGTCCAAAGCATTCAGATTTGGATTATGTGGGAGGAAACGAACGCATGAAGCCTATACAAAGCTGTCCACTCAGATGTATTGCTAGATTTCTGGGCTTTGTTTTCACTGATCACATTCACTTGTCAGAAGTTACTGTCCTCTTTTCGTCGGCCGTTTCAGCAATGTCACACATTTATTCTAGCTCAGACTTAGCGCAGGGTATAATATTGCCAGACCAGGGAGCTTGCATTTGCAGAACGCAGGTTAAGAAGACTTCAGAGTTTAGATCTGAAACCTCGATTGCGTCCTAAAAGGTTCTGCATGTGTAATTGGAAACCTTGGCATCCCAGACACCGTAACGCTCCCAGGTCTGGTGGCACCTCTGAGCAGACGTCATGGTGGTCTCAAATCAAAACTGGCTGAACTGAAAACACTGTTACTGGAGGAGGGGAAGGAGGGTGGGAGGTAGAGACAGACCCACTAGCAAACGTTTGCCACCTCTCCTAAAGAGAACAAGCGGGAATCATAGAATTATAGAATGGTTTGGGTTGGAAGGGACCTTTAGAGGTCATCTAGTTCCAACCCCACTGCAGTGAGCAGGGACATCTTCAAGTAGATCAGGTTGCTCAGAGCCTCGTCCAGCCTGACCTTGAATCCTGCCTTTCCTAGCCAGGGACGATTTGCGCTGGCTCATCGCTACCTGATCTGCCAGGGCTTCGGAGTCGGTCCCAACTTACCCCACTGGATAGGAGAGTTCCACTGAGCCATGGCTGGGTTAGCCCAGGTTTTTCCACCGCAGTTATTTTCATGATCCCAGCAGGTTTACAGGAAGGGTAGGAGGGAAGTGTCTCTGATGATGTGCAAAACCTGCAGTGAGAAACAAGGGCAGGCTCATCTTCTCCCCAAACCTGAGGCCACCAGGCTTGCCTTGGGCTTGGGTAAACAGTTGTGTTCAGAGAAATTGAGGGCATTGTTCAAAAATGCTGTGCTGTACTAGCAGTAGAGGATGTGGCGTGGGGGCGGCTTCGGAGGAAATTCAGCTCTCCAAAGCAGCAGAGGAGCCGCCGCCGCGCGTAGCAGCTCCGCTCCCAGCAGCGGGTCAGAAGCTGTGTTTTTGGGATTCCTGCCAAGAGACGTTTCTTGGAAACTCTTCCACGTGCAGCGCGAACAGCAGGACGGGAGGTCTTGATTTGAACTCTAGATGATAAAAAAACCACTGAGGTTTTGGCAGGGCTGTGTGGTTGGATGCCTTGTTCTTGGCCTTTCACGTCTGGGTGTATAGGTGAGCCCCTGCCTGAGCTGGCTCAGAAACTTCCTCTGACTTCGTAGCAAGCTGGATTTTCCACTGAATAGGAAAGTTTTCTAAGAGTGAAACAACTCTCTGTTTTTTTGGATGGAATTCTCCAACCTGGTGGCTATACCCAGTCTATTTTTCTCAGTCAAACTAGTGCTGAACCTGCCCTGCAGGGTCATTAATTTTTCTTAAAGCTGACGTTCTTCTTCTGTGTTTGCCCTCCGTGACATGTAGTCTTGCTGCTCGCATTACCTCTTAACCCATAAGAGAGAATGGTAGTGTAGGTCATCTGCCTGTGACTCACCGAGACCCCTGATTGACTAAAAACTATTTTTTTTCTGGTAAATCTCATTTTGAGCAGAAGGGGAGAGGTGGGAATAGATATGTAATCTGTGACTAGATCCGGCACCAATTTCTTCAGTACGAATCCATAAGTGCTGCTGCAGTCAAAGTAACACTGATCATTATTATTTGCCTTTAAATTCCCCCAAATTACTCTCAGTTCCCTGTCATGTAGAGGTTTACAGGCTCATAACGTACGGCAAGACATGGAGGGAGGAGGGGAAACTGGCTTACTGTGGTCCTTGCAAGGCAACTTACGTGCTCACATCTTGGGGTGTATGGTCATGCAGGCAGCAGCAGTGTTTAGAGATTTCATTCCGACTCCCCCAGCTGCTGCTAGGGAATTTCAGAAGAATAAAGGAAAATGAACAAAACTGTGGGTGTAGCCTGGAGTGCCAATTAGTCTTTAGCCTCGGTCAGACTTTCCTTGGTCTGTTTGCTGTATATGTTCTCCATCACTTTCTCCAAATCCTGTCTTTCTGTTTTTCAGGAAACTTTAAAATTTATGTGGAGAAGGAAGGAAAATCTCTTCCTTACTTCCAAGGTCCAGATCAGAATCTTTTTTTTGAGATCCCTGTGAGAGCAATTTGTCAGAAACCATTGGGGGAAGCGGAGAGCTGAGCCTAGCAGAGCCAAGCTGAGCTTGAATGCTCTCTTAGTTTGAGCTTATCCATATCAGCAAGGTGCAGTGGGAGCAGAAATCTTATCGGTGACTGTACAGGATAAGAAGGAGAATTTCCCAAAGGTTAAGCTTCCTCCCTGAGTTTTGTTCTCTGAGGAGGCCCTGAGAAAAGCAGATACACTGGGAAGTTGGTAGCTCCAGACAAGTACGTGCATGCACCGGTGTGCATACCCACATGTACGTACACAGAGTGCTTTCCCAAATAGCCTAGAACCTGAGAAAATGGAGATAAAATCAAAAGACAATTGAAGTTAATTATGCTTTCAAGGCAATTGGAGATTGGTTGAAATCTTGTGGGATTTTTGAGGCCTCCCAGTGCAATTGCAGGCTGAGTTTGGGGAGGCAGGTTTGGTTGCTGTGGTCATCAGTGTCTCAGTTGTGATTGTCACCTATTTCTGGTGTCAGACGACGGCAGCTTTTGGGTTATGGATGACACCGATGTCACCACCAAAACACAGTTATCTTCTCATTGCAAATT